AACTGAGTAAATTCGATACACAGGATCTTCCAGATCGAAAACCATACTGTCTGTCTGATATTATATCATTTCTCTCTAGGTGTTCTACCCATTTAGTTTTGATTAGTTTTTCCAATACTTTCACTATTACACTTGTTAATGATACAGGTCTATAATTGAGGGTGTCTTCCCTGCTGCCACTTTTGTAGATTGGAACTATGTTAGCCTGTTTCCACCCGTCTGCTACGATTCCTGTACACAGGGATGCCTGAAAGATCAGGTGAAGTGGAATGCTGAGCTCAGATGCACATTCTCTCAGAACCCATGGTGAAACGCCATCTGGGCCAGCTGCTTTGTTCTTACCGAGCTCCTTGAGCATTTTTTCCACTTCGTCTCTAGACACCTCTATGTGTTCTATGTTGTTCTCTGGAATTCTTATTGTATCTGGTTCCCTAAAGATTTCATTTTGTACAAACACACTTTGGAACTTTTCGTTTAGTGTTTCACACATTTCCTTTTCATCTTCCGTGAATCTATTTCCCATTTTCAACCTCTGAATATTATCCTTTACCTGCAATTTGTTGTTTATGAATTTATAGAATAGACCTGGTTCTGTTTTACATTTGTCCGCAATCCCTTTTTCAAAATTTCTTTCTGCCTCTCTCCTCACTGCCGTGTAGTTGTTTCTCGCATCTTTGTATCGCTGGTATGTTTGGGGGTTCGGCCTCTTCCTGTATTGATTCCATTTTTGTGTCTTTCGGTCTCTAGCCCTCTCGCAATTTCTATTGAACCAATCCTGTTTCCTAGTTCTGCATCTCTGTTTTGGTATAAATTTTTTTGTGCCTTTATCATATATTTCACAAAACTTGCCATACATCTCATTCACTTCCTTGCCTAGCATCAAGTCTGTCCAATTATACTCACTAAAAAAATTTCTAAGGTCACCATAATGTCCTCTCCTGAAGTCTGGTTTTTCAACTGCTTCAACCTCCTTATTTTCTTCCAGCTTATAACGCATTGCATACTTTATTCCCAAAAAGACATGGTCACTTTTACCCAAGGGAGGAAGGTACTGAATGTCAAATATCTCTTCCTCCTTCCTGGTAAATATCAAATCTAGCATGGAGGGAACGTCCCCTTCCCTCATCCTCGTAGCTTGTTTAACATGTTGATACAAGAATGTTTCCAGGATGAGGTCTACAAATTTACAGGTCCAAAAATCTTCTGTTTTAGCTTCATATGCTTCCCAGTCTATGGATTTCAAGTTGAAGTCACCGACTATCAACAGTCGTGATCTATCGTTATCCGCTCTCGCTATAATCTCTCTCATTATTGTTATAAGACCTTCACGTTTACTATCTAGCTCCTCCTTTGACCATGTGCTGCTTGGCGGTGGACTATATGCATTTATCATCATTAGTTTATCATCCTCATAGCAGATCTCTAGTGCTATTATGTCAACTTCTTGTGGATTGGCAGTCATTATTTCCTTCACCTTTAGGTGTTCTTTTACCAGCACAGCAACGCCACCGCCTTTCCTAATTTTTCTGTCCCGTCTCCAAATTGAGTAGCCCCTTGGGAATATGACCTCATTTAAAATTACATCTTCAAGTTTTGTCTCCGTGAGTGCAACAATGTCTGGTGTCTGCAGCTGTATTACATCACTTAACTCCAGTATCTTCGATCTCACTCCATCTATGTTGGTGTATGCAATCTTCAGGAACTTGTTCCCCCTCTCCTTATTCTTCACTCCCCCTCTCTCTATTGATTTTGTTGGTTTGCCTTTATGTACCACTTTACTGGTTTGCCTACCCCTATCACTTTGTAGAAAAAAGAATTTATTTCTTCTTCATTCCTGCTCTCATTTAAATTGTGAAACTTTATATGCTTGCTGAATCTGTCTCTGGGTATATATATGACTTTGACGTATACTCAGGTATTGGTAAGACGATAGTGGATACAGTAACGGGGTTGATGCAGCCTTTAGTGAACAAGGGTTACCATTTGTACATGGATAATTACTACAACTCGGTTACCCTGACAGAAACATTGAGAGAACTTGGGGTGTACACATGTGGCACAATTAGAATGCTACGTGGCGCCCCAAAGGTATTGCAAGCTCTAGCCAAGGGTAAACTTCCACTGGATACCACCGTATACCGCCGCAAAGATAACACCTTCATTCTCCTGTGGAGAGACAAGCGAGTAGTCTCAATAATTACCAACATCCACAATGCAGACACTCAGCGAGTTCAGCGAAGGAAACGAATTCGCAAACGAGACGGAACAAGTGGAATACAACAGGTAACAGTGAACAAACCGACTGCAATTTGCGAGTATAATAAGTTCATGAAAGGTGTGGACCACTTCGATCAAATGGTTAAATATTACCATTTTACCTGGAAAACTCACAAGTGGACCAAAAAGATAACCTTTTATTTCCTGCAAATGGCATTGCATAATGCCTTTGTTTTGTACAAATACAACACAACTGATCGAAAAAAGCTAACATTGCTACAGTTCCACGAAGTGGCAATCTGGGCCCTATTGAACTGGGACACAGAGGACTGGCCTAAAACAACATCATCTCAACACTTGCGGCACGCTCCAGACATAAATGATGACACAGCTCCTGCCAATGCTGACGCCATGCCAACTCCCGGACCAACTGGTGTGAGGCGGCCTTTGTTCACTACACCACCTCAAGATGAAGCAGACACCGAATCTGAACCCGAGATGTCTGCCACACTGCCATCTGAACTTGACATGTCTGCCACACTGCCAGTTGACGAAACTGTTTTGTCAGATGAATCTGACTCTCCTGCAAATGTTTCACCTCCAGCGAGAAGACCTGGCCCTATTGTTGATTCAGAAAATCGCATGAACACAAAACTGAAACATGAAATTTACAGACTGCCCAAACGTCTCAAGTGTCATGTATGCGCACGGTCCGGTAAAAGGAAGGACACGAACATAGGATGCAGGACCTGTGGTGTTGCACTCTGTGTTATTCCCTGCTACACCAATTACCACCGGAAAACGGTGTATTGGGTGGTGAAGAAGTAACCACCCGCAACAGCTTCACTCCACCTACAAACCATCTGTTGAGCAACTTCAGGAATGAAGAACCTGAAGAAGGTGGAGTGAAGAACAAATGCTCAACTTACTGTTCCACAACCAGCCTTCCCTTGGTAAGTACACCTATTTGGTCCAAGTTTGTGTAGTATAATTTAGCTCATAGAACATTCTATTGCGAACACATTGCCACAAAAATGAATGACATACATACAATAATAATATCAGAACAGTGAAATAAGTATAAACTTTCAAAGCAACGTTTCGCGCATGTGTCGTCCGGTCACCGTTACAGGGTAACAGTGCGCCCACTTCCCACACTCTTGCGGGTGGGCCGCGACCATTATTCTACGATTATATTCATAGCACCATGTTGGGAATTTCATTGGGAGTCCATTGATACCAAAATTAAGGCTGTAGGACAATTGTAGAGGTGATAATAATCCCAAGAGTAAAAACATTTTGTTGCTGTTGGGCGCTCACGGCGACTCATCTTCGTAGTTATTTATTTCGTGCTGGTATCTCTATAGCTTTCGTGACTTTTTTTACTGATGTTCTTCTAGAGAATTTTATTGCGAACACGTTGGTACCAAAATGAAATACGTAGCATGAGAACTAAGGTCAGAAGAGTAAAAAGAGTATACACATTTTTGTTTTTACGCTTAAGCGATAAAAACACCGTGCGCACATACGGTTGGCTCCCTGACCTTCGCCGAGAGCGCAAAAGTGTTAACATAATTAACTACAAAAGGCCAATTTGCTCTTACACGGCAGCTCCTATTTATATTCACAAAATAAATAGGAGGTTTTTTGTATGAGCTTATAGGCCTCTTGCAGATTCCTTTGTTTAAATTAATGTATATATGTATCAATAAGAACTTTTTCATTCATATTTATGATCATCACAGGGTACCGGTGGTAGTCAGGTTTATTCTCGACTTGCAATAAGCCTAACATTCTGTATGTATGTATGAATTGGCTGCCTGTCCCTCGACACAATGAATTATCACCATCTAGACATCCAAGGTCAGTAATGAGTATGACTCGGGCGTGTGTGTTGCTGCGGTGAGCACTGGCACTGATCAGAGTGGGCCACCACTCTGATTTCATTCATTGTACAAGTAAACTGTTAAAATGTAGATACAGTATTCAGTTTATTTCCACTTTAACACACATTTTGCATCCAAGTTAATCATTCTACAAGGAAAAAATATTTTTGGGGATACTTTGATTTATTTTTGCCACAGATGCATGTCTAAATTCATAGGGGGCATGTTAGCAGTTAATGGAACAAACTCCTACACCTTATTGTCCAAACTGCATGGTCCCACTTAGATTCTACAAGGAGATGCATGACAGATTTTCAGGATGATCAGGTATCTTGCTTTCATTATGTCCCTCTAAATTATTTGTCAAATGTCACCAAGACTCTTAGCATCACTTGCCTTGTGTTCTTTTACCATCATATTGGCATCGTTGATGATATCTCGGACTTTTGACTATTCTGCACCACAGGCAGTGAGTGTTAAATAGTCTGGAAGACCTATCTTCTTCTTGAGGTTATCTTGAGATGATTTCGGGGCTTTAGTGTCCCCATGGCCCGGTCCTCAACCAGGCCTCCACCCCCAGGAGCTGACTAACACTCAGGTACCTATTTTACTGCTAGGTAACAGGGTGAACAAAACTCTGCCCATTGTTTCTCGCCGACGCCCGGGATCACAGGATCACAAGTCCAGTGTGCTGTCCGCTCGGCTCCCGTCAGTAGACCTTGGTGAGCTCTTTTGGTAATTACTTAATGAACTAGAATAATGGTACATTGGATATGGGTAAGTAAACACTACTTTTTTTAGGTTAACTACTGATAACTTGGGAAGTACTGTATAAATTTAACCTGGATATACTTAATTGTATTTTAATTTCCAGATATAGAACAAGGAAAATAATTATTTTTAATTAATGTAATTTTATTTATGAAGATAATTCCTATAAGAACATCATCTTATCCTATCATAGGAGAATATTACAGTAGTGAGAACAAGTGTGTTATATTACATAGCCATCTTTTCCTGCCATATTCATACTAATCATATCCAGGTAATGCACATCTTGTCACATGACCTGCTAAAGCTCAAATAGCATCACTGTCCAACACCAGCAAATGAGTACCCTAGACCAAGCTAACTTTGCCAACTAGCCGGAGAAATTTATGATCAGTAGAAAAACTATACAGATACACTGTATATTTTATTTGAGAACGAGTGATAAAAAAAAAAAAAAAAAAAAAGTGTCGCCCATTACATGTGGTTGTGATAGACCTTGAACAGCCCTCACTTGTCTTGCTAATGTGTTTCTCACTACCATGCACTGCCTTTCTTCTTTTTGCCGCCACTCTTCTTCTTGAGTATGTTGCGGCGCGGTCCCTGAGACTCTGGTTGTGGGCTGACCACAGCCTGGGCTGGCTTATGCTGTCCAGCAGTTTTGGTGATGTCACTGTAAAACATAACCACATAACAGTATTAGTTTGAAGTATTATTTAAAACAAAACTTATTAATTTCTCTCGGGCAATTATGTTAAATTTCTCAACTCTACTACATTTTCATAGCTCACATGGTTAACAAAAACCTGAGACTCTCTGTCAGTGCCATTGCTAGTTGGCCGCACACAGTTTTGTTCTCGGGAAAACTTAAGATTCTGAGCACCCATCAGCTCAATTCATTGTGTTTTGTGAGGAAGAACACATCAATGCTCCAAAACCCAGAGAATATCTCGTCTAGAACGAAACAACAATTCCGTCTACAATTGATGGACAAACAATGTTGTTGATTAAATGCTGTCCAGCTGACTGGTATTCTGCGCAACCCAGTGTGCAGGCGACCCAAACTGTCGTACCGCACTCATAGCACATGATCGTTTTTTTCTTTTGGCGAGGACTGGCAAAGGGGAGGGAGGGGGGGGGGGGCTCCTTACGTATACTGAGCCTAACAGGGAAAGATAGACCAAATAGCTCAATTAGGTGTTAGGTATCCCTGATTTCACCTAGAGGAATACAACCTTCATTGGAGTGGAATGAATTTCTCCAGGCCTAGGAGTGTTTCAGGCAGTGAACCAGTCATCATTACGTGGAGACATCACAAGGAAGTAGTCAGAGAGAGAGAGGCAATGGTGGCAGCTTTCAGACAAGGAGGGACAGTTGACCAAGGCGCAGCAGGCACCAAAGAAAACTACTATCAAGGCTTCACCTCGTGCTTCTACCAGCAAGACACCAGACATAATGGACCTAGAGAGGGCAGCCTCAGTCACACACCAGCCAGTGACAGGCAATGCTTCTCTGTCCATAATCCAGCCACAGGACAACATTATGAGACAGGAGAGGACCAGTCTCACACCAGACATCATCAGATTCTGCACATCTTCTAAAATTCAAGATAATGCAGACAGACCACTTTCCTACAGCATATGGAATAGTAACAGCAATGGAAAATGAACAACCAACCTTTCCATCACAGTCAACCTGAATGGAGAAATCATAATGACAGAAGTTCAACAGAATGCAAATTACTTAAAAAAAGTAACAGTCCTGCAAGGCAAACCTGTATGTTTGGAAAAGCTGGACCCTTGAGAAAGACGCACACGAGTTGTACCCAATCGACTTTCCACTGGATCCAGTACTAGGACACAAGCAAATCCCAAATGTGGAATGAGGCCGCACAAAAGTAGACAAAGCAGACACATGTCAGATTCTGGTGACTGTCATGGGACATGTGCCAAAAACATTCAATCTTGGAAATTGGGAAATGTACTGACAGAGACTATACGTCCTGGAACCCCTGCGCTGCTTCAGGTTTCAGAAATACGGCCACCATCAATTACGCTGTACTGGACAGGAGAGATGCGGAGTGTTCAGCCTGAGGCATCCAACCAAAGATTATATAACCTAACTCAAGGCAAAGAAGACCACAAACAGCCAAATGTCCAAATTGTGGAGGCAAACATCATGCCTGGAGCACAACCTGCTCTGCACAGAATGAAAAGGTGCAGACAGCTCAGGCCAGGATAAACAGATCAGTACTACATACACCAACACCAATGTCTGGAACACTCGTGCACAGCTACAGCAGACACCCATTCACACAGAAAAAAATTCCTGAATTTATCAATTCCAAATCAGAAAATTACACAAAAATGCTGCAGAAATACAACAAAATCAAAAAGGCAAAAAGCAATTACTTTTAGAATCAACACAACAAATTTACAGCTTTACCAAGGTCCAACTGAAAAACATCATGAAGATCATGGCAGAGACCATTATCAATTGCCTACAGAACATCCCACAACAACAGACTCAAGAAATCACTTGTGTAATAATGGACAAGATTGTGCAGCAGACCACAGTTACACAAGTAGTAGTCTACAAGACGGAGCACAAAAGGACAAACAATGCGACATGGACAGAAAGACTACCAACAACAGTCGGGTAGTCAAGACACCAGAACATCAACATTCACAAAAGTAACTGCAAGAAGCAGTGACCACTCAGGATCAACAGAATTTTACAATACAAGAGACAGACATCAACAGCCACTGCAGTCTTATATGCAACAAAATAGTATTGAACAGCAGAGATGCATAGGTTCCAACAACACAAGAGGCGGGGACGAACAATCACTGCAGCCCAATATGCAGCATCATCAACAATGAAATACTGGATGGCAGAGATGCACAGATTCTGACAACACAAGAAATGGCCACGAGCAATCAATGCAGTCCGATGTGCAGCAATACCAACAGCAAAGTGATGGACAACAAGGATGCACAGATTCCAACAATGCAGGGGATGACCATGAGCAATCACTGAAGTCCAATTTGCAGCGACTCAAATTGCGAGGTGGAGAATATAGATGTAGATTCCGAAGAGGAGTTCTACTAGAACAGGCAACACCAACCAAAACCATCGTCTGGCCATTATGAATACTGCAGTGGAACATACAAGGTCTTTGAAATAAAAAGACATCTTTCAGGAAGCTGCAATCAGTATGAAAGCAGATATAATCGTTTTAGAAGAAACTCTTTTTCCTCTTTTCATGAAGTCCTTCAGATTAGCTGGATATCAGCATTATATTATACCGTATGAACAGGTAAGACAAAAAGGGTTAATGACTAGTCAGAAACACCATATCCAGCAAGAAAATAGACCGCTTCATGTGGGGATGGAGTAGAGGTATTAGCAGTAACAGTGAATATGGCTAATATTGAGCTCCTCATATACAACGTCTACAAGCCCCCTCGTAAACTAGAAGCAGAGGCAGTGCTTGTCTTGGGCCACGCATGAAAATGTAATTATTGCTGGGGATTTTAATGCTCATTATCAAGAGTTAGGTGTGACTGGGCAAGCCAATGCAAATGGGCACCATTTAGCTGCAGCTCTGTGAGAAGTACCTGAAATTACACTTAAACACTTAACACACCCCCACTCACATTCAAGGGGGTTCCCTTGATCTTACATTAATCTCAACAGCACTCAAACATCAGGCAAAGTGGGAGGTAGACCCGATGATCACCAGTGACCACTATGCTACTGTCACAACACTAAACATAAAGCGACCTCCCACACCACCTGCACAACCTAGGTGGAATTTAAAAAGGCCAACTGGAATATATACCAAGAGGAACTTGAAAAATGCTATGCAACATACACGCACACCACCTGAGGATTTGAACATGCATGAGACCAATCTGCAGGAAGCCATTGCAGCTGCTGCAAACAAAGCTATTCCAATCATTATCCCAGGAAACACAAAACAAAAGAACTATTTGATCTATAATAATTTAGTTAAAGGACAAAACACCAGAGTGAACATCTTCAGAAATCATTTAAAGAGAAACTCTACACCAGAAGGAAGAACTCTGCTAAGAGCAGTGATATCTGAAGCAAGATGAGTTTCTAGAGATAAAGGAAGCAAGATGGTTTGAGTGGTGTCAAACTCTAAATGAACATAGTAGTCTTGGCATGATATGGGGCCAGATTAAAACAATATCAGGTCAACCAGCCCGACCACAGGCTGGTTCAACCATTGCAGGAGGCTGAGACAACAACGAAAATCGCCATCAAGTGGATAGAACTCCCCAAAAGAAAAATGAGCAAACAAGCATGATGCCGTGCCGCATGTCTGTGCAGCTCCCCCCGTCCCCGGGAGGCAGAAGGGAAAGCTCCAGACCCTCGTGCCGGCGATCCACGCCTCAGTTCTGAGGTTGGATATAAAAAACGTGAAAAGATCGCCAACCAGAGGGAGGGAGGGAGGGTTGCCGGGAAGCCTCCGGGACTCGCCCAGAAAATGGTGTTTCATTACATTCAACGCTAGTTTTCTGGGGGAAGCCCCTACGGCTCCTTGGAGCTACTTCACCAAAGACAAAAACAGAGGGATGCATCCGAGAAGCAGTCGTCGCTCACACCACAATACGAAGTCTTGACAACAGGCCGCAACAGCCGACCCAAGGCGACACAGGCCCAACTAGACCCAGGAATATGTAAGAGGGAGCACGCAGCCAGGACCCAGCACGACCGTCAAAACAAAATAGTGCCCGAATATCAGTCCAAGACATGCCATCAAGACGGCAGCAAGCACAGCAAGCCTACGAACGTCAAGGACACGCAGAGAGACTGCAGGCAGGATAGACAGAAAGAAGAAAAACCAGATTGACAGAAAGAAGAGAAACCAGATCAACCCAAAGCGCAGCCCCAGCCACAGAGGCCGCGGCGCGCAAAGAACGGTGGAGAGCCGCAACCAGACACAAAAACAGCACCCGGCCAACTAACCATACAGCAACAACCCAAGGAACCCCTCCGGAAAGAGCTGTCACAACCCCACCAGAAAAGAAGACACAGCCGCAAACGACCGAACACCAGAACCCTAAGAAGAACCACTGACAAAAAACGGAACTGAAGGGGCCACAACAAACCGAGGGGAAGAAAGAAAAAACCAGCGTTGAATGTAATGAAACGCCATTTTCTGGGTGAGCCCCGGAGGCTCCCTGGAGCTTATCGGGCTAATGTATGTTATGTTAGACCGGGACATTAGCTAAGGAGTTCAGACCTACCAGGGACCAGCGCCAGAACCTGGCCCCTTCAGAGAGGTTTCAGGGAGCAATGGCCCTGGAAAACCCCATATGGTTGGGGGTTTTCCTTATCTGCCATCGACCGGGGTTAAGCACCCAGAAAGGTAGGCGTAACAAAACAAACCCCACATGGTAAGAAACTACAACAAAAACCGAACAGAGAGGTAGAAAACTCCCTACAATCCCAAGGAAACAAGCAAACAAGCAAACATCACACTTTACTGCCGCGCCGATTGTCCGCGCAGCCCTCCCCACCCTGGGAGGGGGAGGGGGGAGCCCCGGACCTACCGCGCCGGCTGCCAAGCTCCAGTTCGGAAGCTAAGCTTCAACCAACGCGAAAAAAACGCCGACCGGTGGGAGGGAGGGTTTCCAGGGA